GTAGTGTTTAAAACTAGGTCACAGTTTTGAATGGAATTGTATAGATTAGACTGGGATAGATTAGGAAAGAATAGATCAGACAAAGGGTAAGTACTCTGAAATTTTAAGACACTGAGTGAAACATTGTGAGCAAACTGGCATCCTCTGGTCTGGATCCACAGCTCTAGACCCACATAATATTTCCTAAAAATCTGGTGGTTGTCGGGCTGCGGTGGGCAGGGGTAATGGGGAGTTGTTTAATGGGTATAGAGTTTCAGTTTTGCAAAATGAAAAAGTTCTGGAGATTGGTTACTCAACAATGTGACTATACTTAACAGTACTGAACTTAAAAGTGGTTGAGATGGTATAAAAAAAATCAAACAAGAATAGTCCCATTAAACAGAAAATTTACACAGTCATCAGAATATCCTTGGGTATGTTAAATATAACACCTTCAAATTTTAAGAGTTTCATGACCATCCTTCCATTTCTGTATACCAAGGGTCTGTTCATAAACTGTGGCCCACCACTTCTTTTTTTTAACAGCCTGTGAGTGAAGATGTTTACATTTTTTAATGGTTGGGAAAAAATCAAAAGGAGAATATTTCGTGACATGTGAAATAGACAAAAACTCAAATTTCACATTTATTGGAACATAGCACCACATTGATGTATGTATTGTCTATGCGTGCTTTATGTTACAGTGGCAGAATAGAGTAGTTGTGACAGAAACCATATGGCCTGCAAAGCCTAAATTATTTACTACCTGGCCGTGAACAGGAAAACTTTGAGGTTGCTCTATTGCAGTAGTTACCAGATCCCTCACAAGGACCATCTTTGATGGCTTTAAATGCCTAATTAGCAGTTTTGTCATGGACTACTAGGGACTGTTATTCTATTCTAATATGTGGGGGAGAATCTCACTTCCTTTTTCCCAAATGTGACTCCCTAACGAATTCTGGAAAACTCACATTCTTGGTGAACTTCAGTTGTGGCTGGAATCCTGTGAGCAATTTCTGGTATTGTTGTCTCCTTTGTTTTCAAGAAACAGACTTCTCTTGGGCCATCCAAGCAATCTGGACCACCCACAGCTATGCATGGCCAGCCCCTAAGATAGACAAGGATCTCCTGTGAATTCAAATACAGAAAACCCTGTATTCGAGTAAAGACAGTTTAAAAAATAAAATTCAGTTTACCCTCTGAGGAAAATGTTTTGAGGATTAGAAATGGTGGTTCCAAGACTGATCTGGGAACGTTGGCAACAGGGGTTTGTATCCTACATCTAGTATGTCACCTTTAACATCTTTTTTAAAACTACAAACTGGACATAGTTAATATAAACGCAATGTTTTGATATACATTGTGAAATGATTACTATAGTCAGATGCCAAACAAAGTTCTTACTTAGTTAAAATTTTCTGTGTGTGTGAGGAAAGCACCTGAAATCTACTCTCCCAGCACATTTTCAGTATTCAGTACAGTATTAATTGTAGATACCATTTCATACATCGTGTCTTAATTCCTCTTTATCTCTGCTTTTTTCTTTTTTTTGTCTCTGCTTCCTCATATCTATTCAAGCTTTAGTTTACCTCCTAGCTTTGTATTCTGCCTCCTCATAAATTTTCAATTACTCATCATTAAACCTTGCTTATCTCTCTGGTGCCCTTAGCTGTATCTCATGTTTCCCAATTCTGTCCTTTCCGGTTCAACTCCCTTGGCTGTGGGCCTCACTCTCTTTGCATTTCACAAACTTCATTGTTCAATGCAAGAATTTCAGTGGCTTAGCTCATGCCTGCTTGGGTAGTCACTTTCTGAGTCATGCAATAACACAGCACTTGGGTAGTGTATTCTATACCTGGTACGTTCTACTTTGGATGACAGGACAGGTGATATTCTAAAATTTATTGCTGTCTAGGACTGCCTTTTCTCCAGAACTACCTATGGCTGGGACAGTTTACCTTAGATGGGACAATGAGTGTGGCTACCGTTTAATTCAGATGTGTTTGTATTACATTTTTACATCTTGACCTCTAAGTAAATAATGCTCCTCATTTCATATATTCATTTCTAAAGATGCTCTGTCTATACTTTTGCAACTTGTACTTAAGTATAAATGTTGGAGGGTAACTAAGTCAAGCCAGATGCTGTAGTCTGAAGTAATGTCATAAAGCCACTTTTAAAATTTACTTTCCAATTTCAGAAGCACTCACCTATCTTTGATCTTCCTTGGCCACTTGAATTTTTGTCTGTCATTGTGATTGTATCACAACTGACGTTCACTGGATGTGTGGTCCTGCAACAATAATTTTGCCACGGTTTGAGGCTTTTAAAACATTCCAGCCAGGGTTGTGGTGGATGTATCTACTGTCTGTCCCACCACCAGGTAATAACCAGGTCTAAACAGTTCACATTCCTGCCAAAGTTCTGTTCATGTAGCCCAACTCCATACTGTTTTCTAAATTACATAGGATTTCTGGTTTTAAGAAATAAGACACAGGCTTTAGGTCAAGAAACAGGTGTTTATCACATAGATACACATAGTGAGGAAAATAGGGATTTTATAGGAATCTCAAGAACAGAGTGGCATGGGAATTCATCTATGGTGGCTCTAGGGACTTAAGCACATGGACTTAGTGGACCTTTTCCACTGTGCCATTGACTTGATTCAGCTTTCTGTTCTCCTGTCTTATCTACATTTTCCCTCATTCATCTTCCCTATGCCTGGCTTTGCCCTTACCTTGTCTTTGGTGACGCTTTTAGCTTCAGATTTCACCATTAATTACTCATTCTCATGGTTTCTTCTCAAATTTCAAAGAGTTTGAGCACATCTAATTGACTTAGTTTATCTTTATTTGTGCAGTGCTTTTTCATGCTTAGACAGTTCCTAGGCTGCTGGCAGTGTATGGATAGATCCCACCAGCAGTACTCAGTGGAGAGGGTATAATACTGGATGATGTGAAACAAAACTTGATCTTAAAGGGCTGTGCTACAGCTGTGACAATAAACAGGTCTTTAGAAGGAAATGGGCAGGGGCACCTGGGTGGCTCAGTCGGTTAAGCATCCCACTCTTGGTTTCGGCTCAGGTCGTGATCCCGGGGTCATGAGATGGAGCCCCGCGTCGGGCTCTGCGCTCAGCAGGGAGTCTGCCTGCGATTCCCTCTCTCCCCCTCTGCCTCCCCCCACCACGCACTCTCTCTTGCAAATAAATCTTTTTTTTAAAAAAAAGAAGGAAATGGGTATATGTTTGGGAGGAACCAGAACTGCCACATTTAGTCCAATGATTCTCAGATTTGTGAATCTATTATCTATCCATGTTATTCCATGCCTGTTGGAATGGTAAACTGAGAACCATGCCTAGCCATAATAGAGACAAAATCATGCTTTCCAGTGTCAGCACCTCATGGTTATATCAGAATTTGTACATCATTGTCAGAAGAGAAACTGTCAAACCCTACTTGCTTATTTCTTTGAAGTCGCTGTAATACCAGCCACTACTGATTGCCTCAGAGTTTCACCCTAAATGGGTGCATGTCTGAGTCACAAAGGCAATTGGATAACTAGTGGCTTTGCCACAGTATAAGCTGGACTTCTAAAAAACGTTTCATCCTGGTATGTGGCAGGGATTGTGTGTGATTTTCATACTACAGTCGTACCCTAACAATTTCAAATGTTTCTTTTTCTGCTGAGGGTCTGTTTCATGCAACTATATACCTGATACTAATTTCTATACTAATTTGATTCTCTTGGTCCCAAGAAATGAAGAATCACTCAGCCTGCCACGTTGGTAGGGGTTTATTGTATGTAAACATGTGGAGGATGGGGATTTAGTGGGACTCGAAATGAACAGTATTAAATATGGAACTAACTAGATTCAAGCAGCCCTGAGGTACGTTAACGGCAGTACGTTTGGATCATTATTCTTGTGCTTCACCATTGACATCACTCAGCTGCTCTACATTGGCTGTTTCCCCTAGCTTAGTGGTTTTCTGTCACGGTTGTACTTTAGAATTAACTGGGGAACTTTAAAAATAAACCAGAGCAAGATACTGTGATTTAATTGGCCTCGAGTGGCCCCAGGCACCTGCGTTTTTAAAACTCCTCACTCTTCATTCTACTTTTGCGATCAGCTGGCTTCCCCAACCTTTATTTCTCTACCTTCTGCGTCCTTGTGGTACTCATGGATTGTAGTAGCTCATAAATTTGCCTTCTCTTGGCCTTCATGAACTCCCTTAGAGAAGAGGCTATGGATATGACAGCATCATTGAAGTGTTGCCAAACATTTTCTGTAGAAGTCCCAGATAGTTCATACTTTGGGCTTGTGGGCCACACAGTCTCTTCTGCAACCATTCACTTGGAGAAACAACCACAGACAATGAATGCAAAATCTGTCGGCAGCCAGATTTGACCCATTGGCTCTAGTTTGCTTATCCCTAATCTATGCCCTTCTTGTTTATAGTAAAACTTATTTATTCTTTCTCAATATTTTCTTAGCTACTATTCCCTAAGTTGTTATTAACTGAATTTAAGAAGTATTTTGTAGGGGCGCCTGGGTGACTCAGTCAGTTAAGCGGCTGACTCTTGGTTTCAGCTCAGTTCGTGATCTCAGGGTCCTGGGATCGAGCCCCGTGTCAGGCTCCTTGCTCAGTGGGGAGTCTGCTTGAGGATTCTCTCTCTCCCTCTTCCTCTCCCCCTGCTTGCGTGCTCTCGCTCTCGTTCTCTCTCTTGCAAATAAATCTATTACAAGAATGATTTTGTAAAATTCTGCTTTGTCTAAAAAATTCACTTGGAGATATTTTAATAGCATTTGATTTGGACGTTCATTTGGTCAGAATTAACATGTTTGCAACATTTCTTCTCCCCTTCTAAAAACATTTATTAAACTCTTTTTATATCCTGATAATCATAATTTTCATCATGTGACTCTCCAATATTTCTTATGTCATTCCTTAGTTATTTCATGCCTTATATAGCCAAAATTAGATTGTTTTCTATTAATTTTAATAAGTGGTTATTTTTCCTAGCTTATTTCAAAATGGAAGTGCTATTGTTCCTGGTTATAAAGTGAAGAGGTACTTATAAACAATTCAGATGACACAGGATATAAAAAAATATAGTCAAGATAAGCTATAATCCCATCATTCAACTAAAACCACTGTTAAACTTCTGGTATGTTAACTTCCTGAATGTGAGACTGTCTTTGTCTAATGTTATTGAGCATTTGTTTTATCTAATTATGCCACCTGTTCAAATTCTGTACCGGTTAAGCAATTTTATGATATAATTTGGCTACAGGAAAAGAATGTTCTTCATGTGGAAACAAGTATTCTGGTTGCATTGATGGGTATGTTTACAATCTTGTAAATTAAGAAATTGGCGTGTTGAAGATTATATACTTCTTATTATATGTCAGCTGTGGTGAATGCCCTTGTAATTTATTTTTACACTTGACTCATCATTTCCTTACCCACTAATTTTTAGTCACAGAAGCTGCAATGAATTCTGTCATGGCCCTGAAGTATGCTTTGTTCCCATGGAAAAGAACCTAACTGAAGACTGATAGCGTGGACATGTTTCTGGCATCAGGGATGAGGGTAAGTATGCATTTGGAAGTATTAAGAGAAGATAATCTGATAATAAAAATCAACGGCTGTAGTTTGTTAGGAGAAACTCCCTCATTTTCTAACTGAACCTAGAGAATTACTTTAGACAGTTTAGAGATAGCATATAAATCTCTGAGGCACGGTTGCTGGAAGTTAGCTACAATGGGCCACCAAAGGATTTTTACACTCCTTGAAGTCCTCCAAGTAGAGAGAATTGCTTGAACTTTTTTTTAAATTTAAAATAAGAATGGCTCGGGGCGCCTGGGTGGCTCAGTCGGTTAAGCGGCTGCCTTCGGCTCAGGTCATGATCCCAGGGTCCTGGAATCGAGTCCCACATCCGGCTCCCTGCTCAGCGGAGAGCCTGCTTCTCCCTCTCCCTCTGCCTGCCACTCTGCCTACTTGTGCTCTCTCTCTATCTGTCAAATAAATAAATAAAATCTTTAAAAAAAAATAAAAATAAGAATGACTCTTTTTATCTGGAACTTGATAGTAATGTCACTAATTAAAATATTACAACTGAGACCAACAGCTTAATATCTAAAAAGAACTTCTGCATCACTAAAGAAAAGTATCTTGCTGGGAACAAGTTAAGGAAACAAATGTACCGCCTTTTTTTTTCTTTTCTTCTTCTTTTTGTTTTTTGTTTGTTTGTTTTTTAGAAAGATGCCCTCTCAAAACAAAACCAAATGATTTGCCTAGCTAGGAAGATGCATTTCTAGGCACAGTGAGCCACTCTTATCCGTTAGGGAAAGTTTTCTACCGGCGTAGGGAACCGTTTGCCTGTAAAGTTCCCAGATGCCAGCCAAGGCCAGCCTTGCAAAGCAGGCCTCTTTGAGGATAGTAGTCTTAGGCTTGCTTATGTTAACTCTTTTCTGTGTACATGGGTTGAATGTATAATAAAAGGTCGAAATTAGAGCATTCTGTAATTGATCACATTCAGACCCTGTTTAAGGGAAGAGAGGGTGGGCCACTTTGGTAAGAGTGAGTTTAAATACATGATTTCTGTTCTGTTTGGGGCATGTGAAAAAATTGGAGAGTGTCTCTTTGGGACACTTGTATGTCAAAGTGTGATCTAAGCTTATGTGTAAAATATTTGTCACAAAATCTTTGATACGCTAGCTATTTTTTTTTTGCTTCCTTTTTTTCTCATGCTATGGTGACAGTTAACTGTGAAAAGTGTGTTAATTTTTAAAATTCCTGTGTCATTCCTTCCCCACACGTTAATTTGGAACTTGACATTCAAGGAACCATGCTTTAAGAAATAAGTCTAAGGGAATGAAATTACTGTTCTGTCGTCTCACGTGAATTTAATTAGAAAACTGAAAGCTAGTTTAAAATAAACAGGCCTTTCCATTTGACAAGATTTAAAAACAGATTAACTGGCTATCTGGACATAAGTCAATTTAGGTAATCATATTTTTGCCCATTATCAGAAATTAAAGGAATTGCTGTAACCTCTTTCATGCATTTTCCTGATACAGTTAAAAATGTTGAGGGGCACGTGGGTGGCTCAGTTGGTTAAACATCCAGCTCTTGGTTTTGGCTGAGGTCATGATCTCGAGGTCCTGGGATTGAGCCTGCTTGTCTCCCCGTCTCTCAGCCCCTCCACCCCACACTCTTTCTCTCTCTCTCTCGCTCTCTCAAATAAATAAATCTTTTTAAAAATGTTGAAGTCTGCACACCAAAATGTTCACATTAGTTATCTTTTGAGGCAGGTTTAGGTAAGTAATTGTTATTTTGGGGGAGGGGTGTTTTGGTTTCCTTGATTTTCTTTTTCTTAATGAAAATATACTATGTTGAGAAAAAGTGAATAATTAATTTGGTAGTTTAACAAACTACTCTGACACCACCTGGCTGTCCTGCAATTCAGTTCCCTTCTGAGGCTAACTACCCCAAGTTAATGCCACATCCCACAAGTTAAGGGGCAGAGCCTTCCTGAAAACTGCCTTCCCTTCAGCAAGTCTTAGGTCCATCTGTATTTCTGACTAACTAGCTAAATTCAGTGGTTCCCACGACCATCTCAAGTTTGTTAATTTGCTAGAACAATTTCCATAACTCGCTGAAAGCACTATACTTAACAGTTTCAGTATAAAGGATATAGCTCAGGAACAGCCAAATGAAAGAGATACACAGGACAAGTCTTGGGGGGGTTTTAGATAAGGCGCTTCTATGCTCTCTCGCCTTGGACTCGGGTAACGTCGCCTTTTTGGCACATCAGTATGTTCACCAGTCAGGAAACTCCTGTTGTGTGGTGTGGGTGTCCAGAGTTTTATCGGGGATCTTATTATGTCATTGGCCACTTGATTAAGTTCAGTCTCCAGCCCTTCTCTCCCTAGAGGTCTAGGGGCTGGGGCTGAAAGTTTCAGCCTTCTAATCCTATGCTTGCTCTCTCTGGCATGGCCATCCCTTCTCCGTGGAAACTATCCTAGGGCCCACCTTGAGTCATCTCGTCAGCATAAACTCAGGTGTGGTCAAAAGGGGCTTCTTATGAATAACAAAAGAAAACTCCTTTTCGCTCGGTGGTTTTTTGGAGCTCTATGCTACCAACAGGGGACAAAACCCAGATTTATTACACAGTTTTATATTTTGCCTCTGGTTTTGTAAGGTTTTTGTTATGAGGAGCAAAAGTGGTAGATCCAATGAGGGGATCATGATTTGCAAGGCTACAGAGGATAGTGGGCAGTAAGGGAGGTAGGGATTTTGGTGGAAATCTGTCAAAGGAACTGGTGAGTGGCTATGCCTCTCTGGGATGAGAACTAGAAAGCCATCAGGAAATGGAGGCTTCTGGAAAAACCCTCTCTGTTTCTTTATTGGCCATATTTGGTCTGCATTTCTGCTCTATCATCACCTTGCCTCTGATTGTTTTTGTTCCCTCCTTCTATGTCCTTCTTCACCCTAGAGCTTTTGCTGACTTGTAGGGTTTTTTTTTAATTAATTGTATTTTTTTTATTTTAATTCCAGGATAATTAACATATAGTGTTGTATGAGTTTCAAGTGTACCATATTGTGATCCAACAACTCTATATATTCATTACTCAGTGCTCATCAAGATAAGTGTACGCTTAATCCCCTTCACTTATTTCATCCATCCCCCACCCACCTCCCTTCTGGTAACTATCAGTTTGTTCTCTATAGTTTAAAGAGTCTGTTTTTTGCCTGTCTCTTTTTTCCTCCCTTTTCATTTCTTTTGTTTCTTAAATTCCACATATGAGTGAAATCTTACGGTATTCGTCTTTCTCTGACTTATTTTACTTAGCAGTATACTCTCTAGCTCCATCCACATTGTTGCAGATAGCAAACTTTCATTCTTTTTTATGGCTGAATAATATTCCTTTGTCTATATATACAGCATCTTTATTCACCTATAGATGGACAATCGGGCTGTTTCGATAATTTGGCTATTGTAAATATGCTGCAGTAAACATTAGGGGTACATATATCCTCTGGAATTAGTGTTCTCATATTCTTTGGGTAAGTACCCAGTAGTGCAATTACTGGATCATAGGGTAATTCTATTTTTAATTTTTTGAAGAACCTCCATATTGTTTTCCAGAGCAGCTGCACCAGTTTGCATTCCCACCAGCAGTGCATGAGGATTCCTTTTCCCCCACATGTTTGCCAACACTGTTTCTTGTGTTTTTGATTTTAGCCATTCTGACAGGTTTGAGGTGGTATCTCATTGTAGTTTTGATTTGCATTTCCCTGATGATGTGTGGTGTTGAGCATCTTTTCACGTGTCTGTTGACCATCTGTATGTCTTTGGAGAAATGTGTGTTCATGTCTTCTGCCCGTTTTCTGATTGGATTATTGTGTGTATGTGTGTGTTGAGTTGTAGAAGTTCTTTATATATTTTGGATTCTAACCCTTTATCAGGTGCATTTCTATACACTAATAATGAAGTAGCAGAAACAAGAATTAAGAAAACAGTCCCATTTACAACTGCACCCAAAGTAACAAACACCTAGGAATAAACGTAACCAGGGAGGTGAAAGACCTACACTCTAAAAACTATAAAACACTGATGAAAGTAATTGAAGACGACACAAACAAATGGAAAGATAACTCCATACTCATGGATTGGAAGAACATATATTGTTAAAGTGTCCATACTGCCCAAAGTAATGTACAGATTCAGTCCTTATCAAAATGCCACCAGCATTTCTCACAGAGCTAGAACAAACAATCCTAAAATTTGCATGGGACCACAAAAGACCCTGAATAGCCAAAGTGCTTTAATCTTGAAAAAGAAAAAGCTGTGGGGTGCCTGGGTGGCTCAGACAGTTAAGCGTCTGCCTTTGGCTCGGGTCATGATCCCAGGGTCCTGGGATCGAGCCCCGCATCGGGCTCCCTGCTGAGCAGAGAGCCTGCTTCTCCCTCTCCCTCTTCCTGCTGCTCCCCCTGCTTGTACTCTCTCTCTCTCTAAAATTAAAAAAAAAAAAATCTTAAAAGAAGAAAAAGCTGTGGAGGTATCACAATTCCAGAGTTTCAAGTTATACTGTCAAGCTGTAGTAATCAAAACAGTATGGTACTGACACAAAAATAGACACATAGTTCAGTGGGACAGGATAGAAAGCCCAGAAACAAACCCACGATTATATGGTCAATTAACCTTCAGCCAAGGAGGCAAGAATATGGAGTGGGAAAAAGTCTCTTCAACAAATGGTGCCGGGAAAACTGGACCACTTTCTTACACCATACTCAAAAGTGAACTCAAAATGTATTAAGGCCCTAAATGTGAGACCTCAAACCATAAAAGTCCTGGAATAGAGCTCAAGCAGTAATTTCTCTAACATCGGCCATAGCAACATTTTTCTAGATATGTCTTGTCGGGCAAGGAAAGCAAAAGCAAAAATAAATGATTGGGACTAATCACAATAAAAAGCCTCTGCAGAGCAAAGGAAACAAAACTAAAAGACAGCCTACTGAATGGGAGAAGATAATTTTCAAATGACGTATCCAATGAAGGGTTAGTATCCAAAATACTCATGGTT